GCCTTCCTGGTGTACGTATTCAATTGCACTTCCTGGACAGATATCTCTAACTACACGCGGATGCTTTTCGGCTTATTGTACCACGATATCTTTTCAAATGCATTAGAAGCTATTGCGAGTTTTAAAAAAAGGGGTAAGGCCTGTTTGTCATGGTTATACATTAATTTCTAAAATTCGATAAAGAATCGATATGCCAGATTGTCAGTCAACTAATTATGGCCAATTAGCGGATATAAGTTTGTTTAAATCTTGACTCCTGTTGGTTGCACTTCTCATTGGCTCTCGATTTCCTCTGATTTCTATCGCGACGTTTTATTCAATTGCGTTTGGTTTACTTACTATTTGCTTATTTTTCTAATTATCTCGCATTTTTTCGTTGTCATAGGCTGAATTATCCAAATAGCTGTTCCTTTTATTTTTTCTTTTATACGCTCTATTCTGTTTTGTCATTTTCCTTCCCGTTGATATGCCTCACCCATATAACCCCTATTATCATCGGCCCTAGAGTTTTTTAATATTGCAGAACTGTTTATAAGGAATCTCTACCCAGGCGTGGAAACATACCTTCAGCTCCACAGCAGACAAGTTGCATTCAAACTTCTTCATGCTGCCTGACTTGACAAGACCGGGATCGAGGATGACCACTTCGCGACGTTTCGGTGGCAACTGGGAGAGCACCTCAGTCTTGACCCGCCTAGATGGTCGGAGAAAAGGTGGATAGTAGTCCGCGGATGAACAGAGAGAGAGGGAGTGGAATTGCGACCCTTACCTAATCATAATAGTCCCCTCCAGGATTATTTGCAGCTCCTGCATGTTTGAGCAACCCGAATAATCCCAGCCCCAGGGATTCTCCTTGGCTGCACAATATCGCAGGCCGAATTCGTGGAAGCCGCCCTTGAAGAGGGTGGGCCGAACAGCGGTGATCTGTGGATAGAGCTCCATGGGTCGAGATAGAGCCGGAGTGCCAGTCAGGAGGATGGCTCGCTTTGCAGCCTGTAAGGCAAAATTATCCAAAAAAGCAATCGTTATCAAATAATTCCGCCCCTACTGAAAAAATCC